TACTGGCCATAAAGATAAAACAAAACTTCCCCGTAAGATGCTCTTACCTGCTGGACATTTTGGGTACACTAATGTGATCTTTAGGGGGACTGGGACCAACCATCCAGTTGGCATGGTACCATGTCGGTAGCCACAGGGTCAAGCCCCAATAGATGGCCCAGCTGTCAGTGAAGACAATTATGGGGGAAGGCTTCTGGGTGATCACAAGCCATACTGCCCACAACTCAGCCCACTGGCTGCTCTTCCCCTCTCCATCCTCCATCCATATTGTCTCAGTCTTAGGATGGAAAGCCACAGCCCTCCACCTCAGGGGCTGCCCATGACTGGAGTTGTCTGTTTATCAAGTATCTTCAGGTATAGGGGCTTTTCCCTCCTGATAAGGACTCTTGGCTACCAATGGTTCAAAAGCAAGTTCTTCCTGCTTTCCACTGATATAGGCCACTGTCCTCAATAAGCAGTGGAGTTCTCCACTTATGGGGCTAGTAGAGAGGGTGCTGTGCTGCTGTAAAAATGCACTTATTTGGCCAGCATAGGTGTCTGTGCCACGCCACTCCATGGCCTTTGGGTATAGTTTCACACCCACCCTGAGATGGGATAGGTCATTATTATCTTAGTCAGAGCTGTTCTGGCAATGGGCTCCATAGCCAGCAAGGCATGGTACACAGCAGCCAGTTGCTTCTCTATCAAGGTGTACTGGACCTCTGCTCCTTTCCTTAGTGGTGACCAGAATCCAATAGGTTGGCATGTCCATTCAAGCTGCTGCCAAAGACCCCATCCATAACCATCTTCAACTACATGAACATCGGTCCTTGTCTATGACTGCTTCAAAAATAACTAGTTTTACCTGACCAGACAACCCCCGAAGAATTTTACATACAAACCAGGTCCCTGAACCTTGGTGCTGTTCACAGCCCATCCTTTTTCCTGTAGATGTTGCAACAGTCTAGGAACTTCACCTTCTAAATCTGAAAGAGAATCAGATATGAGCATAATATCATCAATGTAGTGATACAACTGCACCATTTATGGTTTCTTCCATGTGGCCAAGTCCTGGGCTAAAAGTCCATGACAGATGGTGGGACTGTGGAGGTAATTAAAAGGACTATGAGTGGGTTTTATGATGTCCACCTTCTCCAACTCCTGTACAGTTTCTCTCATTTCCTTGTGCCCCCCAGGCAAATTACACTGCTTAGTATTTGTCACTCACCAAGGTACAGACAGAGCTATAGGTAGGTGCTTAGCATGTTCCCTCAGAACTGCCTTCACTACACATACCCTCAATCTGAACTCACCTGCAGTGGTCTGTAACCACAGGCCCTGCAGGATATCTACCCCAGAAATATATTCAGATATGGGAGAACTGTACAAGGGTATACTCCTTTGGGGGTAAACACCCTGTTCCCAGTGGGATTTGGACTTTCATCAGTCTAATTGCCTTACCCCCATAGCCATCTATCACAGCAGGGGTCCCAGGAAAATGCTCAGGGTTGCCTTAAGTCAGAGAACACTCAGCTCCTGTGTCCATCAGCAACTAGACACATTGTACATTCACAGGGAACCAATGAATTGCTAATTCTACATGTGGCCTCCGGTTCCCACCCTGTCTCCCAAGGTGGGAACCTTGACCCTGCATCAGTCAAACTGCAATGTCCAATCATCCTCCTGTGAAGGTGAGGGCTCAGGTGAATTCTGGGTACTGTCCCCCAGGAAGTTTTGTAGAGACACAGGTCGGGTATGAGGCCTTGACTCCAGTTTCTGTGTCCTGGACCTCAGCGGCTGGAACTGCTGCTCTGGCTTTAATTGGTGCCACAGTTCTAACAAGATTCTATTGGACTGCCAATCAAGTTTTTCTTTCACTACCCTGGCCTTAATCAAATCAACCCACATCTGAGTCCTGGAGACCTTCACGGGGCCCTTTGCACCTCCCCTTTCAGTCGTAGCCCGTACTTCCTTCCGTGCTCTTTTGTTTCAACCTCCCCCAGATCTGCTAAAGTACCAGTAGTCTCACTTATGGGTTGCCCTATGCTGGGGGCAAGAATAGTCACTAGGGACCCAAAGATGTGGGAGCTTATGGAGCACCAGTTTTATCATTCCTACAGTGAACAACTCCTCATCAGGGCCCTGGGGATCCATATTATAGACGATATTTTTGTACCCAATTCCTGTAGTACCTGTTTGAGCTCTGCACACGTTTTCCAACTACTGGATAAATACGGTAAATCACCTGATTAAGCCAAACTACCCTGGTGGCAGCTTTCAGTCATTCCAAGAGTATCTGATTCCCTGAAGCATGATGGGAATTTTGCAACCACTGCCTGAGGGAAGGGTGAGTCGTCAGGGAAGCCAGTCTACTCATCCGAGGACCTGACATAACAATGTTTTCCACCCCCATATCCCAGAGACGTAAAAGCCATGTAGGCAGAGATTCCGATGTCTTCTGCCTATACCGGAAGCTCATGTCCAGCAGTTCATACTGGGTGTAGGGATGGAGGGTGGAGTGCTCCACAACCTGGGGAGGGGGTGGCTCCTCCCCTTGAGGAGCCTGCAGTTGTTTCGTTTTTATTTCCTTAATTAAAGCTGGATGGGCCTTTAAAACAGGAGAGGATGGTACCTCCGGCAGTGGCCTCCTTAGCAGATCAGCCTCCTGGCCCCGCCTCCTCCTCTTCTGCTCCACCCTCTCCCCGCTCCTCCTCCATCTCTGGGGCTGAAGGCACCACTCTTTCCTCCCCCGCCCCCATGGCCTCCTGCATCGTGGCTTTTCCTGCCACCTCCCTGCCTCGCAGCTGCTAAGGAATCTTCCAGGAGCGTGACTGCCTTTTCAGCAACTGTCTCTTCCTTAACGGCATCCCATAGGTTATTGCCCAGCTCCTCCAAGTGTGTCTCTATCCTGCCTAAGTCCCTCTCTCTACTCACTAACTCTATCAATAATCCTCTCTTTCTACTGTATACCATTTTCCACTATCTTGATGAAAAGAGACCCTACAATGCCAACCACTACACAGCCACCTAGGGTCTCCAAGCAGACTTCCAACTCACAGAGGACTAATTGCAGCTTCCTGTGTTTCCACCCTTCCTCAATTCTGGGGAAGGCCCCACCCCTCTAGGAGGTACTTTACCCTAGATCAATTCCCCACTAGGGGCTCCCAAATTGGAAGCCCCACAGCTGGGGGGATGATAACAGGTGAAGCTGCACCCTCTGCTGCTGCATCCACTGGGGCCTACCCCCCATCCTCAGGGGGAGTTCCAGGCATCTCCCCACCATCTCTAGGAGCAGCCCCCCCCCAAAGTCACACCCTTTATGAAAGACTTCTGGTTCAGAGATCCTGCTACTACCGCCAGATGTAACTCTGGGTAGAGGAAATCTGAGGACAAAATACCTCTAAAACCAAAATCAATGAAAGGGAGAAATGAAGTTTAAAACCCATTTATTGCTTACAAACTGTGGTCTGGGACTGTTTCTCTCTCCTGCTATGGCAGAGGCAAGCAAGACCTCCCCCTAACCTCTCAGGTTCAGATAAGCCCTTGGTCATGCAGGTAACGACCCATCGATATGGAGATGAACTACCTTTCTCCACCCCTTAGGAACACCTGTTGATATGCAGATGCACTAAAGCCAGGGGAGATATTCTGGAAATATTACAGTTTTACCCACACTTATGAAATTGTGCCTGGAAACATAATTTGGGAAATGCTGCCTTAAGGTTTACTTTGACTAGTAATTCAATATTATTTGTTTTGTTTTGTTTTTTTAAATTCCCTGCTCTGAAGTAACATAGTGTTCTTAAACTGCTGAAAAACACTGGTTCAATAAAAATATTGAGAAACATAGATCCCACTCCCCCGAATATGAAATGAAAACCTGAGCTTACAAAAGAAAACGCAGGAAATGCAGTCAAATTAAACTATGACTACATAAAGGAATGGATCTCATTTACCGTTGGTTGCGCATGTGTGGTGATCAAGCAAAAACAGGGTATTGGTCAAATTTTTGCTCTGGATGATGAAAGCTGGACTGTAACATCTCTAGTGGGTCACTTCCAAGTCCTCTCTTTACTCCTTCAAAATTCAGGGGAGAGCCAACATTTGAGGACTTGTATTGCAGACTTCTAATTCTGTTTTCTAAGCATTTTCAATACAATGAAAAACCACTAGGGGGAGAAACACGCAAAAAACTTGACCTTTATCAGTGGTGATCTCAAAAGGCAACACATTGCATTACTCTCCAAAAAAAGAGAGGTTTTTATGCTACACAACACCAAGGCACCACCTTGAGTCTAATCTATGGCCAAGATGGCTCTTCTGAAGTCCCTGTGGGCATTACCCCCAAAAGCACATCTTCTAAGTAGTCAAAATTGAATCTTACAAGCTAATTCAAATCTGAATAAAAGGACAGTGCAAAACATCTCCCCGGAGTGAGTCAAAGGATTGCAAAAGGCTGTGGCGGTGCATTCCTCTTTCGGGATGGCTCCAGCTTAATCTTACGTTGGCAGCAGGATGCACAGCATCGCTTTGTAAAAGCCCTTTTTTCTGTATTCATAACCACTTTTGGTTAGCCACTGACAGCAGCGGTTAGCCACCCAGCCCCCTTCTCTGCGCCCCGAACAAGAGGAAATCTCGTTTCCTCCATGAGCGTAAATGTGAATGAATTCACTTGCTCCCAATATTGCTTTCTCTATTTCTAACCTACCCCGCCTGCTGCTCATAGAAACAGACATATGACACATATGCCATCCTAGGATAACACAACATCCTCAAGACTGTAAAAGACAGAGCATTAGACACGCGCCGGAACAGCACAGCAATACCACCCGAACTTCGGGCGGAACAGCAAGACGCAAGCGCACTTACATACTGTTACCCGATTTGCCCATTTCCCCCGCCTGGTTCCAGCTATTTCACTTCCTGTTCTTTGCACATCTGCTTCCGGGGCGTTGTAGGCTCAGCCCCTCCTCAGCTCTTACCTTCCTCTGCTCCGGGAGGGGGAGAGTCGAGGGGGTGGGGAAGAGTTCGTTGTTTGTTTACACGATGTGAGCGGAAAAAGAGACCAATAAAGTTTATTCTGGAAACAAAAGGAAAAAAAAACAGGGGTGACAGAGAAAGGAGACGGGGGCGGGGGCGTGCGGCGGGGGCTAGCGAGCAGACGGAGCTGGAAGGAGAAAGCGACAGTTCCGGTGCCGCCGCTGCGGCCGCCGAACTCTAGGCTTGCTGCTGCCACGGCCGCTGGGGCTGGGGCCGCCGGCGACGCACGGCTCGGGCCCCGCCGGGCAGCTCCGGAGCGGCGGGGGAGAGGGGCCGGGAGCCGGGGGCCGTGCCGCCCGCTCTCCTCTCCCTCGACGCCGCCGCCGCCGCCGCCGCCGCCCGCGGGGCTGGGACCCGATGCGGCTCGAGCCGCGGACCCCGGAGGAGCCCCGAATGTGAGTAGAGTGCGGGCTGGCTGGGAGCGGGTGCGGTCAGGGTGGGCGCCGGGCGGGGGCCGGGCACGAGGGCGCGCCCGCGGTGTTGGGCGGGGGCCGCCCGCCGGTTGTCTCTCCGGCGTCGGCCCGCAGGAGTTCGCCTGCGACCGCCGCTCCCTCTCCCCCGCCTGCCGCTGGCCTCGCCCAGATGCAGAGGCGAAAGCTCGCAGCTCACTCTGTCTTCTCCCTCTGCCGCCACCTCGCTCCTCGTTTCCTTCCTCTCCTATTTTTGGGGATGGGGCGCCTGAAGACTGAGGAAGTGCGCCCAGGGCCACCGCCCCGGCCGCGGCAGGCGGTGCCCCGCGCCTTTGCCGCCCACCCGGCCCGCGGGGACCCGGCTGCAGTGCGCGCCGGGGCGTGAGGGGCCCGACGCGGAGCCGCGGGCTGTTCTTGAGGGGCTGTCACGCCTGAGGACTCCGGCCCCGGCAGCCCGGCGACCCTCGGTTTGCCTCACACTGGGTTTAAATCGCCCGGCTGGGGCTTGAAAGTAAAGCTGCTCCCCCCACCCAGCAATTCTCTCCCACCCTTCCTCTAGAGGTTGTTTTCCTTTTAACCGAGACAGTCAAACGTATTGGATCGTCATTCCTAGACCTGAGACAGTCGCTTGTGATTTGTGTTCCATTATGTGGTGCTTGTTTCATAGGTCCTAAGTGATTCGGAAAGGTAGGGCAGTGCCCAGGATTGGGATGTGTAAACAGCCGACGTTCAGCCAGTGTGTTTTGACCGCAGCTCGAGGGGTTTATTTTAAGGATGCTAAAGAAATGGTGGTGATGGTGGCTAGTCACCAGACTTGAGTATCGAAGACAGTTTTCTTAGATGTCAATAATCAGGGAGCTGTTTGCATAGTTTTATGGAGGGTAAAGAGAGCGCAACAAGAGGGGCCTTTGTAGAAAACAGCCTGCATATTCTTTAATGAATTAGAGTTGTGATCTCGTTTTGGTGAAGCTTCCTCATTCCAGCGCCTTTGAGCTCATGCAGGACAGGGGTTTGCGAGATGATGTTTTGAAGAGGCCTGGAGGACCTCTAGAAAACTTGCTTAGTTAAACTCTTATCTCTAGTCAGGTTATTTCCACGGCCGCATTTGAACCACTGCTTGCAATATTGGTCGCATGTTTTCGTGCTTAAAAACTGGCATTTGCTTGCATTGCACCAGACAAAATTTGTTTTTGTGCTGCATTGCCTGTTGTTAAGAAAAGGCCCGGAAAATACTTAAGATAACACGTTGCTAAATTAATTTGTATAAATCAGAACACTTCGTCTTTATTAACGGGCTCTCGAAGTAGCTAGTGTTAAGAATTTGTTAGTATGTCTGTGTATTCAAGTTTTAAGAATTTTTAACTGAAGCATTGAATTCCGGTTGGCAGCATAGCTGTCTAAACACAACATGTTCTGGAAAAATTTTAATTATGAAATTAACTGTTCTGCAATGTCATCAGCCAAAACTATCAGAAGAGGGCCTAGTGGTGTGTGTGTGTGTTTGTGTGTGTGTGTGTGTGTGTGTTTGCATGCGTGTTGATGTTTCAAGTTTTCTTGTTTCGTGTTTTTGGATAAAATTAAGTGAAATTTCATCCATAACTTTTTCCCAAAGTTACGCGTTTCTTGTGTGCTTTCATCATCGTAAAATAGTGCTTTCCGATTAAAATCACAAATAAGGTGATTGAAAGAAATGATGGCACATCATAATAGTAATAGCATCAGGGGAAGTAGCAAGAAAGCAAATGATTATTAACAATATTTTATCACAACTTTACAAAGTCTGAAAGGCATTCCTATGAGTTTTAGTTGGAGAGTTAAGAATGAACCACATATAAATGCAGAACAGTGCTTTTTATATATCTCGTTTGGAAAAAAAATTAGACATAGCATTAAAATATGTCACTAAATACTGTACTTAAACTGAAAAACACTGCAATCAAGTATATATTTTCATGAGACTGGATACATGTAAAAGGGACACTGTAAAAGAGCAGTCAGTGGCTTTGCCTGGGTCCCTGAATGGAACAGTCCGCAGGCAGAGCTTCCTTCCTGTCAGGGTAAGATCCTCCCCATCCTAAGTAAGTATTCTCTTTTCAAAGACTAAATTTATAAATAAAATACTTTCAGTAAGGTAGATCATAGTAACCTTTTTCCAAAAACAGTTTACTTTGAGTGTAGATTTCCTTATTAGAGTCCTTAACTGAATAGTTTTAAACATTTGCTATCACTACTCAAAGAGCATTTGCTCTGTTGATCTGTTTATTTGAAAAGAGCTAACTTAATCCCATTTGATCTCTAGAGTAGCGTTAAACGGATCAGTTCTCTCTTTTATTATTTCATTATCTTGAATTTCAAGGTAGGGTGGTTCTTTAAATGAAATGTGTTTCTAACGCATCATAAAAAATCTCATCTCTGGTAAAAATATTTCTGATTTTTTAAATTGTTCAACTTTAGCTGGTTTGTATTTTATTAGTACAGTTGTCAAGCCATTTTCTTAAGTATTATTTGTCTTGAGTTACACAGCAATCCTGTAGACAAAGCAGTATTACTATCTCTGAGAAATGACATTTTAATCTAAGGTTAGATGGCTGTCAGGTGACAGACTCATTGATAAACCAATGTTTTCCAGGTGACAAACTCATTGATAAAAACCAACGTTTTCCACCTCCTTTCACTATATTATGCTACCTCTAACCTGCTCCAGCCTGCTTGTAATGAAGAAACTAGGGCCCAGAGAAGTTTAGTTGCTTGAGATCACTTTTTGCCTTATTAATATATATTTTTTAAATTATAGTAATAATTTCACTATAGTATCAATACTAATTTTACTGTAATAATAATAGTAGTAATAAATATATATTTTAAACTCCCTAATACCTTAAACAGTGGTTTTCAATCCTGGCTGTACATCAGAATCATCGAGTTAGCTTTTTAAAAATACCAGTGGCCATGATCTCATTCCCAGAGATTCTGATTTAATTGGTCTGAGATGGAGCCCAGACATCTGTGTTTTGTTTGTTTTAAAGTTCCCTAGGTAATAATTAGATTGTAAAGCCCTTGCTTTCAAGGACCTGTATAGTTTGGTCCTTGCTTTTCTTTCTAGGTTCATTTCTCCTCCATCCTCCTACAGCTCCCTTGGCCTTTCCCTGCTCTCAGTGCAAGGGCCATTTGCTTTTCCTGCATTTGTGCACTCCATACACCTTCCTTAACTAGCTGACTCCTACTCATCTTTCATGTCACTCCTTTGACAAGTCTAGTCTGGGTTAGGTGTCCCTGCTTCCTGTTCCCATAGCATCTTGTACTCCCACTGTCATAGCATTGACTCACTGCATTATAATTGCCTATTTATTTGTCTGTGTCCTCCACTCCTACATCTTACAGATGTAAATTCCATGAGAAGGATAGGGATTCCTTCTATCTTATATACAGTTTTTTTTCTTATTGCCCAGCACAGTAGACAGTACATGATAAGCACTTATTAACCAAATAAATAAATATATTAGTAACAACACATAATTTATAGACATCAATTAAGTTTTTATTCTTAACAAAAACATTTAATATTTTTGGTCACTAAAACTGTGTATCTCTGAACTTGCCGCACATATAAATTTCATTTGGAGACAGTTGAGAGGTTATAAATTATACATAAATTAAATTGAGAATGATGTTTAACCCCAAACACACACATCCCCCATACCCACACACAAGCGAAAATAAGGATCATTATTATACACAGAAGTGCACTGGAAATCTGAGACATGATCAAATCCCAGTTTCACCACAAGCATTGAGTCCTTGGGCAAGTATCAATCTCTTTGGGCCTCAGTTTCCTCATCTGTAACATGTAGGAATTGTGCTGGATGCTCTGTATGGTACTCAGTGATCCAGCTTTTAAAATCCTGTGAGTACTGAAAATATTAGCTTTGCAATCTGAAGCTCCTTGGTTCAAAGCATAGCTCTTTACACTTAACTGGCAGGATTACTTTGGACAAATTCCTAATCAGTATAAGGGAAGTAATTACTACTCAGTAGGGTTGTTGTTGAATTAAATGAGATAATATAGATCCAAGAGAATTTTTGTCCTGGATCAAATGCTTAATAAATGTTAATTTCCTTTCCTCTTAGAAGGTGGTAGATGTCATGAGTGGACTTCTCTGAGATAACAAAGACACAGTTTATGTAATAAAAACTCATTTCCACTTTGTTATAGGTGTGAGTAAGGACCAAAAACCACAGTGGCTTTTAGTTTCATTTCCTTAGAACACCATTCCACTTTCAAACACCCAGGTGTTATTCAGCCTGTTTGGGAAATAATTATGCCTATAAGTTTGAACCATGACAGGATAGCGAGTGCCAGGCTCCACACATCCATGATACTATGGAAGAGGGAGAACTCTATACTGATGACCTTAAACCATCTCCAATGATAAGAAAAATCAGACTTGACTATTTCGTAGGTAGGGAACAAATTAAAACTAAGGATGATCTACCAAGAAGACCCAGAGATTTTGGTGAAATCTCTGTTCACAAAGGCTTAAAATTTAGGGACCATTATTTAGTAATTTCCAGAAGATATAAGAAATAGACACCTGGTTAGGACCAGTTCCAGAAGATAAGATTGTTCTGGAGATCAGATTAGCAGTTTCAGATATCGGCAGACTGAAAGTTGTTGTTTTTCTCTATTTGGGAGCCATGTTTTTTAAATTTTTATAGTTACCTTAACCTTTATTTGGTAATAGAGAATAACTTTACACACAATGTAGTAATAACTCTGGTGAAATTTCTTTATATCAATCTTATTTTTGTATGAATCAAATTGACTTGCTTGAGTTTTCCCTTAAGTTTATGTTAAAAGTGAATTTAATTAATCATTTTGGAAAAAATACTGTAATAAAAATTTTAAACTATGGATAGGAGAAGCTGAGTGTTAGGCTGCAAAAAAGATAAGAGGCAACACACAGTGAAGTCTGAGGATTCAACTT